TTTTATTTTTTGGGACAGAGAGAGACAGAGCATGAACGGGGGAGGGGCAGAGAGAGAGGGAGACACAGAATCGGAAACAGGCTCCAGGCTCTGAGCCATCAGCCCAGAGCCCGACGCGGGGCTCGAACTCACGGAGCGCGAGATCGTGACCTGGCTGAAGTCGGACGCTTAATCGAATGCGCCACCCAGGCGCCCCAAGCTTGACCTTATCTTGATGCAGACTGTGTGGAGTGCCATGTTGGGACTTCCCCCAGATGTTCAAGCCAGGATGATGAGACTGGAGCACAGACCAGGAGCTTGGTTCTCAGGCTTATTTCTTCCCTACTGAGAAGTTGAGTGAACTTGGGCTAGTGTCTGAATCTCTTCTTAGCCCATCTCTTTGTATGTGGAGAAAAATACATATACTTCCTAGGATTTTTGCGAGGATTCAGTGAGGTGATTACTGAAATCTTTGCACTGTGCTCGGCACAGAGTGAATACTCAGTAATCTCTACACCCACTGTGGGGCTTGAACCCACAACCCTGAAATCAAGAGTCACATGCTCCACCTAGTGAGCCAGCCAGGAGCCCCTGATGGTACCTGCAATTAATACACAGGTTACCTGTGCTCGTAAGAGGGGGATGAGGAGAGATGATGTGTACTTCTGCAGGACGTGATTCGCTCTCACTTTCTTCCCCTCAGTGCCCCAGTCCTCTGGTCGGACATGACTTTTGACACCTTCTTCTTCAATTAGGTTCAACCGGTTTCCCGTAAGAAGCTTCAACTGGTTGGGATTACGGCTCTGCTCTTGGCTTCCAAATATGAAGAGATGTTTTCTCCAAATATCGAAGACTTTGTTTACATCACAGACAATGCTTATACAAGCTCCCAAATCCGAGAAATGGAAACATTGATTTTGAAAGAACTGAAATTTGAGTTGGGTCGACCTTTGCCACTGCACTTCTTAAGGCGGGCCTCAAAAGCTGGGGAGGTAAGTGCCTCCGATTCCATATGAGACTTTATTTTCCCCCTGTTGTCTTATGCTAGAAACGTTGATCCAATTAAAGGAAAACTTAAAAATTTATAGAAAACATGTTCTCATTAAGTCCTAATGTTTTATCTCCTCAATTCTTAAAAGACCTCATGCTCTGTGTTTTTAATATACTGTGGAATAGGGCACTTGCTGGGAAGGACGAGTGAATTGACTGGATTTCAGCTCCTAGACCTTCACCTGTGATTTTGCAAGACAGTGATAATAGCTGTGCTTCTTCCTCTCTGGGCTATCCAATCCTAGGTCGATGTGGAACAGCATACTTTAGCCAAATACCTGATGGAGCTGACTCTCATTGACTATGACATGGTGCATTATCACCCTTCGAAGGTGGCAGCGGCTGCATCCTGCCTGTCCCAGAAAGTTATAGGCCAAGGAAAATGGGTAAGAAGAAATTAGGTTATATTTTAGACCCTCTGGATATGAAAGGTCTTACCGTTTTCACCACAGTGTTGTTAAAGCAATTGTTAAAATCCAGAAGCCTAAAAGAAAGCTGCTTGGAATGCTTCAGACGTAGACTAGGTAAGCACACCATGACACCCAGGTGCTAACTATACAGTTGTGAAGGCTGTGCATGGCTGCCTACAACTGGTATGCTAAGGTTTCTGGGATCTTTGGTTAAATGAAACCAGCAAGGCGTCAAGCATCTAAGACAAAAGCAGGGCCAAGGCCCAACTGATTGAGCCAGTAAAGGTAAAAAGGAGCCACTTTTAGGTTTATACAAGTAGTCAAAGCTGCCAGCAATTGTGGTCCTTATCTCACGCACCAAAAGGGAGAAGAACCAAAACGAAAGGGGCCAGGTGACTGCAGTGGGAGTCGTGGGATACCCTTTTGTGAAGGAGCCAACTCTAGACTGGTACTAAGCAGTTTTATCATCTGTAGTTGTGCCCCAAGAGCAGCAGAACAAAAGCCTCCTCAGAGCCCAGGTGTTAAGAAACGGTCTCAAGATAGCCTCTCAGGGGAGATACGGAGGAGGGTGGGAGCCGCTCTTCCCAGCCTCCCTCCCCTCACATTCCAGGAGGATCACCAAGCATTCTGCCAAGACACATCAGCTGGGCTTCAGGCCTTTGCCTGGCCCTATGTGGCTGCCTGCAAGCTTGCCAGGACACCGTGGCAGGGCTGTCCCTCCACACATTTGTTGTAAGAAAGAAGGGGAATAAGAGAGAGAGAGTACGTATGTGTGCTTAGGTATTTCCTGATTAAAAAAAAAAAAAAATACAGGAAGAATAGACCAGAAACTAATGGAAATGATACCTGTGGGGTTGGGTGGGAACAGGGTAGAAGGCTGGGGATGGGAGCAAGACTTGTGGTTGTAATTTTTTATCAGCTGTATACAATATAATGTAACTTTTTTGACTTCTGAACAATATGAGTGTTTATGCAAACCCTAACTGGAATTACACAGAAACAACAATGTCACCATATATCAAACTGGTAATAGAACACTGAGGGAAGAATTACTTTATCTGGTTAGATAAAACAAAGAACCAAAAGAGGTAACATACTTAAAGTTTACTTGGGAGATGTATTGTTAATAGTAATCTGTTATTATAATTGTGAAACTATTTAGGAATATTAGGGTAAAACAAACATTCAATGTTATTAAGGACTAAAATTTTCACAATAAGAAGAGGGATAATATTAACAATTAAAAACAAAGGAAAACCCCTATGACGTTAAATCTATTTTGGAAATATCGGTAAATTAATCATGAGAGGGCCCAGAAACAGTGATAACCCAGTAGCAATGATCATACCTAGTGCCCACATAATGGATACTAAGTACCATTACCCGCTAGGAACTAGGCCACCTTTGAGAGATAGCTGCTCTCAGGGTTGGGGGAGAAAAAGTATAAGGTGAGACTAGATCAGTTTGTAATAGACACCAAGCAAATTCTCAAGGATCAGTGGGGGTCACGTGAAAAGGACATAGGAACTGGCTTGAAAGGGCTCTTACTGGCTAAGTCTGAGCATTGTAAAGAATAGTGACAGGGGCTCCTGGGTGGCTCAGTCAGTTAAGCATCTGACTTCGGGTCAGGTCATGATATTGCAGTTTGTGAGTTCGAGGCCCGCGTCGGGCTCTGTGCTGACAGCTCAGAGCCTGGAGCCTGCTTTGGATTCTGTGTCTCCCTCTCTCTCTGCCCTTCCCCCGCTTGTGCTCTGTCTCTCTCTGTCTCTCAGAAATGAATAAATGTAAAAAAAAAAAAAAAAAAGAATTGTGACAGTAATAGATTGTAACGCATTTTTAAAAAATGTTTATTTGTTGAGAGAGAGAGATGGAGGATGAGGCAGGCTCTGTGCTGACAACAGAGAGCCTAATAACAGGGCTCAAACTCATAAACTGTGATATGACATGAGCTGAAGTCAGACACTTAACCAACTGAGCCACCAGGCGCCCTGATTGTAACACATTTTTAAAAATCCATGCATTTATAACGATACAAAAGAAAGAATGGAAGAGGGGCTCTTTATTATTATTATTATTTTTTAATCAGGATACCAGCTATTTAAAGCAGAAAGAATGGTAGAGTTAGAAATCAAATTTTAGGGGCGCCTGGGTGGCTCAGTTGATGAAGCCTCTGACCCTTGGTTTTGGCTCAGGTTGTGATCCCACAGTTCTTGAGATGAGACCCTGTATCGGGCTCTGCACTGACAGCACGGAGCCTGCTTAGGAATCTCTCTCTCCCCCCTTGCCTGCTCGTGCACACATACACTCTCTCAAAATACATATTAAAATAAATAATAAATAAAATTTTAACCCCTAATGTAAAAACTGATTCAAGTGAGGATCAACTGATGCTCATATCATTAGGTGAGGTAATTTTGGAGGACGAGTCACATGGTCTCAAAATATCACCTCACAGGTATGTAATAATGCTGAAGAAAAACTGTACCTTTATGATAGGGGGTCTGCAAATTACCACCTTAACCTGGTGATCAAGCTTGGCATCACCAGTGGTAGGAGCACCTGACTTGACCTATGTTCTGGTGCATTATCAGAAGTAATGCATTATCATCTCCATGAAATTCATGCCTCAGATGTTTGACACGAATCCAGTCATCAGGAAACACTCAGATTTAAATGTGGGATGTTCTAAAAGTAACTGGCCTAGGGCCTTCAAGTTGTCATTTAAAGCCAAGAAAATAGGAGTTGTTTTAAGTAAAAAACCCCCCAAAGATCAGATATACTGCATGTACCTTAATTGGACCTGGATCTAAAAAGACAAATCTATGAAAGATATTTTTGGAACAGTTGGAGAAATTTGAATATAGACTGTATTCTGGATGATACTCTGGAAATGTTGATTTTTTTATGTGAAAAGCTTTGTGTCTAGATAGGAAAATACTATTTAGGGGATGTTTCTGAAGCATTTAGAAGTGATGTGTAATGGTGTCTGCAACTCATTGTCACATAGTTCAAAAATTGTGTGTGAATACATACATACACAATTCTTGCTAAACCATTTGCAACTGAGTTAGCTGCAGACACCATGAGAGAGAAAACGAGAAAGTGGCAAAATGTTAATAGGTGAATCTGCACAAAAGATGTACAGATGTTCATTATATTATCTCATTTTTTCTGAAATAATTTGAAATTTTTTGAAATAAAAAACTTGAGGCAACAAGGCTGCTGATACATGGATGATACAGGGTCCTGGTACCAGTGGCTTATTTTAGCTAAATTACTTTCCTCTGGGACATGTCTTCTTTGGGCTCTGAACCTACTAGCACTAGGTCTCCTCGTTTTCTGGGAATTGACTTGAAAATGCCGGTGGTTGTGTGTTATTTCAGAATTAATCTTGCTTTGTTCTTTTTTTCTTTAAATTATTTTAGGATTGGGGCACATGGCAGCCTCAGTGGGTACAGCATGAGACTCTTGATCTCAGAGTTGTGGGTTCAAGCCCCACATTGGGCAAGGAGCCTACCTTAAATTAATAAAAAAAAAAAAAATACGTTAGGAATAAGATTAAATTGTGATTGGGGTGCCTGGATGGCCCAGTTAGTTGAGCATCTGACTCTTGATTTCAGCTCAGGTCATGATTCCAGGATTGTGGGATTGAGCCCTGTGTCAGGTTCTATGTTGAGAGTGGAGCCTGCTTAAGATTCTCTCTCTCTGCCCCTCTCCCCTGCTCACGTGCACTCCCTCTCTCTCTCTTAAAAAAAAAAAAAAAGTAAAAGAAAAAGATTAAATTATGATTTATCTTCCCAATTAGATTGTGCATATGAGACAGATGTACTTTGGCTTTTAGAATTTTATCACAGAACTGAAATAAAGTTAGGTTACCTATCTTCACACATGATAGATCTTACTGTCAATCAACAACTGTCCTTTTGCTTGACCTTTGTTCTCCGGGAGGCTAGGTCGCAAAGCCTCTACCCCTAGAGGCTTCTCTGCTCTCTGTTCTCCAGTGCTTAACTACACAGTGCCCAATGAGAGAATCCCGGGCAGTCTTTAATTCTTCTGGATTTTGTAGATTAGATTGCTGCCCATGGCCTAATTTATTCTTAATAATGAACCTCTTTCCCTAACAATATGGGTATCAGCTCTGTCCAGCTCCCCACCAGCCACTGTCCAGTAGGGCTTTGATTGGGACAGGGGGGGCGGTGGTGGTGGTGGTATGTGTGAGATGTGCTTGTCCCAGGTCTCTGCCATTACTCTGAAAGGGGCTTTCCTTTGCTGGGTTTTATTTTTATTCTGCCCCACTTTCCATCCCCCCACCCCACCCCGGTGTGGTGATAGAAGCATGAAAGCTTTGTTACTTGGAGTACCCTACATACCCCTGCAACCTTTTTAAAAACAATAATAATTATGGGAACTTTGTCACTTGATTTAGCTGAAGTTGCACAGTGTCTTAATTTAGTCTTGCTCAGAGCCAGAGTCATCTTGCATTTACTGGCTGCTTTGCTGGTACAATGGTAGTGTTTAGGGCTGTTACTGAATTTTACGAAAGTAGGAATATCATTGTATAGCTTTTATGCAAGTGATAAGTGATGTTAGCATGTATAAGATGTGCTCTTCTAAAGAAGCGGAGGCTTTATCTTGCACCTTCTCTCTTCATTGTGTTCCAGAACTTAAAACAGCAGTATTACACTGGATACACAGAGAATGAAGTATTGGAAGTCATGCAGCACATGGCCAAAAATGTCGTGAAAGTTAACGAAAACTTAACGAAATTCATCGTAAGTACTCCTCCCTCAACCGTGGAAAGCATTAGATTATGGGTTTTGTGAATGAGAGTATGTGTACGTATGTGCGTTTGCGTTTTCATGTAAACGTAATATTGGCATATGTGAGAGTCTATTTTAGCACGAACTCTTTTCTAGTCCAGCAGGGGATGGAGCATACTGACGTATCCGAAAAGCAGACTTTCTTCAAAACCAAGTAGCTAGGCTAACCAGGTCCAGGCCCCAGGTAGTCAGCCAGATGGCCATTCAGTGTGTCTCCCCACCTTGTCCCAGCATCCTGGGCAGGGCACTCAGCATCAGGGAAGGCGCTCCCCATGTCATCTGGAACAGCAAGGGCTCCGTGAAGACTCGGGTTTTGGGGTGGTATCACTCAGGGCCTTTGACCAGGATCTTTTGGGACAGTGACCAAATCATGGTGAAGAGGGAGGGGCAAGAAGCCCATTCAGAAAGGCTCCTCAGGGTCTGGTATCTGTCTCTGTGGGGCCCACCTGAGAGGAGGAGTCAGAGGAGATTGGGTGCTGTCCTGTGCTTGTGTGATGCCGAGTATCACCACAGGTGTGGTGACAAAGAGCAAGGCATTTGTGCCAAGCATGTAGTTTCCTTGCATGTAGTTTCTGTATGATTTAGCACACCATGGAAGTGTGACATGTTTTCAGTCCTTAGGGTATTGTTGTCTGGGACCCGCTAAGCACTGGTTGCCACTTGCTTTTATTGCCAGTTGTTGCTGCCGGTCCTGGCAGACCTGTTCTGTCGTGATGGTGCTTAGGTATGATAAACACAGCTCCTACCTCCCAACCCTCTGGCAACATAGGAGAGAGAGCCTGCTCCTTGGACCTTGACACCATTTATTCCTCCATCACCTGTGCTACCAGCTGGGCTTTATCCATTGCTAGGTATGGAAGGAAATTGTCGGGTGCAACACATTATAACCTCAGAGCTCTAGCTGGCTTCAGTGATTCAGCATCATCGCACTAGTTGGAGATTGTGGGTCTGGCCCTTAAATACTTGTGAATTAGACTAGGAACATGGTATAAGGTAGGGGGTCCTGATGCGTGCTTAATCACAGATGACTTCTGCAGGCCATCAAGAATAAGTATGCAAGCAGCAAACTCCTGAAGATCAGCACGATTCCTCAGCTGAACTCAAAAGCCATCCAAGAGCTTGCGTCCCCTCTGATGGGACGGTCCTAGGCTGCCATGGCCCTCGGGGAAGAGTGCTTCATTTGTGTGCTTTGACTTGCTGATTTGGAACTCTTCACTTTGTACATAGTTGTCTGGTCTATTTCATGAAACCTTTTCTTAGACCTATTTTCTAAATGTATATTGAGGAAAAATAAAGCTATTAATTTTTCTTCAGGTATCCTATGTGTATTTATTTGTGTATTCTATAGTGGAAAGAAGTCAGTGGAAGCTTGGGTTGACTAATTTCTTTTTGAGCTATTATGAGAAGTATGTAAATTATTGCCTTTATGGCTTTGGGAAAGATCTTCCTGCCACTTTCTCAAATGGAAAAAACTAGAACTTGGCTTCAGTGAATGCTAACCCATTCTTAAACTTCTGAGATATAAAAAGATTCATGATGAAATTTGAAAATGGGAGGATAACTATGACCGTTCCTTTTCAGAATGTACTCAACTATTTTCTCATTCCTATACAGGAACGCCTGGCCCACTGGGTTGAGGGCTACCAGAAGCAGCCCTCACAGTATGCCTCTCCTTCAAAGGCATGGTGGGGACCAGGAATGTCAGTCCTAAGGGGCCACCACTGGAAAACAAAAACGGGTCTGTGACACCTTGTTAATGTTGAAACTTGGAATGCATTTTCCTATTTCATGGGTTACTATTTGTTGTTTTTTTTTGGCGGGCAGTTGATCACATTTAGCATTATTCTCTAAGTGTGAATGCATTCGCAGTCTCCAACCACTAAAAACAAAACCAAAACACATAAAATAAATGAGTGTCTTATAGCAACAACTTCCCAAACTATTAGCTCAGCACATGTTAATTGCTTTTTGAGAAAAAGGAGCTAGTCAAATACATTCGGGAAACATTGCAAACACATTACGATTCATAAAGGCTCGGAGAAGCTTTGCAGTAAACTCTTAACTCCGCCGTTCCCCAGTCCAGAGTGTGGTAAATGCTGCCTTCTGCGTGACAGTGAGATGTGCAGGTGCTGGTTCTGAGACTCAGCTGTGGCTTCTGGCTGCCCTGGGAGGCCAGCCTGGCTGGCTCCAGCTAGTGCTCACTTCCCACCCCTCTCCCTAGGCAGGCTGGGCCGCCTAAGTAAGTCTTTATGTGCGTGAGCACTTGGAGGAATGGGAGTCTTCTGTGTTAAAGTCCTAGTGTAAAGCTTTAGAAGTATCTCTCTTTGAGTGAGACTCGTTCCCATGGCAGCCTTAGGCTGACTTGGGTCACACATGTGAATAGTAATGAAGTGAGACCCTGCGAGGAAGCTTTCGCTTCCCAGGGATGCTTGAGCTCCAGCTTCTCGTCAAGAAGAGATGGGTTTTGTAGACTATTCTGAGACATTTTATAGCTTCTTTATTACATATTTTGCTTAGTTAAATATTAAATACCCCGACTCAGGAAATTCCTATTTACAGGATGTCATAAAAAAAAGACCTTTAAGATCCTTCCTATGTGCCATAGCAGGCATCCAAAACTAAAGTGTTATACTTATGAAATAAGAAATTACTACTGTAAAAGTACAAATCATAATATAAAAGCATTGCAACTAGAAAATGAGGTGATGGAACCATAGTATTTGAAGAGCACAGATGCTGAAGCTGCATCGCATGGGTCTGAGTCTACTTAGCAACTATGATCTCTGTGCCTTGTTTTTGTGTCTGTAACATGGGGGTAAGAGCATCTACCTCATAGTGTTGTAGTGCAAAGTAAAGTATGCCAAGCCCTTAGCAGTGTCTGGATGTGCTTGAATGTTAGTGGCTATTATTATAAGGAGGTGGTGGTCTTGGAATGAGATGGACATTGGGCATTGAAAGATATGTTAGGCACAGCTCTTGCCTGTCAAAGCAATTTACAGGGGCATTTGGGTGGTTCACTCGGAAGCATCTGACTCTTGATTTCGGCTCAGGTTATGATCTCATTGTTTGTGGAATTGAGCCCCATGTCAGGTTCTGTGCTGACAGCATGGTTTCTGCCTGGGATTCTCTCCCCTGTCTCTCTACCTCTCCCCTGCTCGTGTGCCTGCTGTCTCTGAGAGAGAGTGAGTTTACAAATTTATAGCTGTTGAGTCCTGTTTGTGAGTTTTTCTTTTTTCTTAATTTTGGTTTTTGATTTTTGAGAAAAAGATATTGGAAGTTGAAAGGTTGACAGTTAGACTATCAAGCTCTTTGTTATTTGCTTGATTGAAGACAAAGATGAAAAGCATGGGCATTGGGGTCAGATCAGGGGTCAATTGATGGGTTCCTCTACTTCAGAGCTGCATGACCTTGGGCAAGGTAGTGAACTGCACTGATCCTTCTCATTTGCTAAGTGGTTTTAGAGTAGTTCATGCTGGTTAGAGGGGGCGGGTGCAGTACTGTAGGCAGGAAAGGCATCAAGTAGTTAGTAAGAGTAAAAATAAGTTCCTAAATTCAGGAGCAACTGTGAAGACCAGCTAGGCCTCTGGAACGACACAAAACAAGGCAGGAAACGGAGTGATGTTGCAGAATGGCTCCCACTCATTGACCATAAAAGTGAAAGGTGCCAGGAACATCATCAGGTTCTCCACCAAAGATGCATCCTGTACACACCGTACTCCCGAAACTGGACTCTGACCCCACCTGGAAATGAAGCCACTGTAAAAGTAGCAAGTAGAGGCAGGGCCAGCCTTTAGTCTGCCCAGCTTCACTCAGGAGGTCTGCGGAGTTCAGAGGGAGTCCGGAAGAGAAAAGATTTGGATATGTATAAGCCCTGCTCTGTGGCAAGTCAGTGATCGTCAGTTACATGGATGCATAGCCATGTTGTCTCATACTTGTTCTTGTGGACATCTCTGCCTGGAAGGAGCCATGCCTGAAGGAGGAGGAAGATCTCTCCCTGGTGCCTGGGATAAGCTGCTCTCCACACCGAAACTAACTGCCCCCAGCAAGACTCTCCCAGCCTCCCTGGCAGTTGAGGCCACATGACTAAGTTCCAGCTGCTGGAACCTGAGTGGACATGGTATGTGCACTTTGGAAGGAATGTTCTTTCTTTATTTTGATGTTTACTTATTTTTGGGAGAGAGAGAGTGTGCAAGCAGGGGAGGGGCAGAGAGAGAGACACACACACAGAATCCAAAGCAGACTTGAGGCTCTGAGCTGTCAGCCCAGAGCCTGATGCAGGGCTCGAACTCACGAACCGTGAGATTGTGACTTGAGCTGAAGTCAGACGCTTAACCGATGGAGTCACCCAGGCACCCCACAAGGAATGTTCTTTAAAAAGGAAACTGTTGGGGTGCCTGGGTGGCTCAGTCGGTTGAGCATCCGACTTCAGCTCAGGTCACGATCTCACGGTTCGTGAATTCAAGCTCCGTGTCAGGCTCTGTGCTGACAGCTCGGAGCCTGGAGCGTGCTTCCGATTCTGTGTCTCCCTCTCTCTCTGACCCTCCCCTGCTCATGCTCTGTTTCTCTCTGTCTCTCAAAGATGAAACTGCTTCCCATCACCTTTCCACCCCATTAGGGCTGGGCTTGGTAATGGTGGTATCAGGTTTGACCAGATGGGCTGAGACAACACGTGTGCATGGTTTTCACACCTGTTGGGGGAACAGGCTTATAAAAAAGGCCTCACCCTTTGCCCTCTCCATGGGCATTGACTTGCTTCCCTAAGCACTGTGGAAGAGATGACCCTTTTGCATGATGTTTTCAGAGAGCCAACTGCGCTGCCTGCTCTAACCCGTTTATTAGTACTTAGTCCCTCTGGTGGTTCTCAAAATGTGGCCTGGGGTCCCCTGGGATATCTTGAGACTCCTTCAAGAAGGCCGTGAGGTCAAAACTATTTTCATGATAATACTAAGATGTTTGCCTTTTTTTGTTCTTGTCTGTCATTAGTGTAAGGTGGAATCTTCCAGAGGCTATGAGAAGTGATGATGTCATCGCTCTGGTGGTTAGTGGAATGTGTATGTGTGTTTGTTGGTGTTTTAAAATTTTCTGTTTTAGGAGCTCCTGGGTGGCTCAGTCAGTTGAGCAACCGACTTCAGCTCAGGTCTTGATCTCATGGTTCACAAGTTTGAGTCCCGCATTGGGCTCTGTGCTGAAAGCTTAGATAGACTGGAGCCTGCTGCAGATTCTGTGTCCCTCTCTCTCTGTCCTTCCCCAGCTTGTGCTCTCTCAAAAATAAGATAAACATTAAAAAAATTTTTTAATTTTCTAATTTCTCTTATGGTAAATACAGATAGCTATAAAAGACAAAAGCAGAACTCTTTGAGGTCTTCAATAACATTGAAGAGTATATTTTGTTTTATTTTAATTTTTTTTTAACATGTTTATTTGAAAGAGCATGAGCAGGGGAGGGGCAGAGAAAGAGGGAGACACAGAATCCAAAGCAGGCTCCAGGTTCAGAGCTGTCAATACAGAGCCCGACACGGGGCTTGAACTCACAACTGTGAGATCATGACCCGGGCCAAAGTCAGACACTCAGCCAACTGAGCCACCCAGGCTCCCCTTTTTTAAATTTTATTTTTATTATTTTTTTAAATGTTGATAACAGTGAAGAGTATAAAGGGGTTCTGAGGCCAAAGGGTTTGAGAACTGCTGGTCTATTGCTCGTTTGAACATCTCTGTCCTAGGGAACATTCAAGCCTGCTCACTTGGTACTTGGTTACTTTAAAACCTTTGGTTGAAGGGATCTGTCACATCTGCACACTGCATTTTCTACTTCTGTATATGTATATATGTGTAAGCATACCATCATTCCAAACAGGATGGGGTATTGTAGAAGGCAGGGGTGGCCCCTTGATCCTCTTTACACTCTCCCAGGTGAGGTGACTCCCAAACTAACCACACGACTGCTTAGCTGAACAGTGAACAAAATGGCAGGCCTGGCTAGATACGGGGCCAAGAGAAGCCTAGGATAAGGACTTCACACCTATAAACAAGTGTTTACTCACCTACTCAAGCATCACTTGTTGAGGACCCCCTTGGGCCTGGCACTAGACGAGGCTTCTGGGTGCAGAGGTGGGGCTTGCTCTGTGGTCCTGAGCCAGGGCTCTTCCTGCTGCTTGTCCAGAAGTTGGACTCAGTTCCTACGCTGTCACCTAGAGCCTGAGGGGTCCTGGTTACACTCCAGTTTTAAAGGCCAATCACTAAAAGTAGCCAGGATTGATTTTTCTCCCCATTTTAAAAATTTTAAGTTTATTTATTTGGAGGTGGGGGAGGAGGGGCAGAGAGAGAGAGAGAGAGAATCCCAAGCAGGCTCTGCACTGTCAGCCCAGACCCCGATGCGGGGCTCAAATCCAGGAGCCATGAGATCATGACCTGAGCCGAAATCAAGAGTCAGATGATGCTTAACTGATTGAGCCACCCAAGCGCCCCTGGGTTATTTTATGCTTTAATGCATAACATTAGGAAAATTATGTAAAGCCATTAGTTTTTTTTTTCAGTATAGCTAACACACAATGCTACTGTAGTTTCAGGTGTACAACTTAGTGATTTGACAAGTTTATACGTGATGCTGTGCTCACAAGTGTAGCTACCATCTGTCCCATTACATCACTTATAGTACCATTGACTGTATTCCTTATGCTGTGCCTTTTATTCCCATGACTTATTCATTCTGTGATTGGAAGCCTGTATATCTCCCTGTCACCTTCACCCATTTTGTCCCCCCAACCTCCCTCCCTCCCTCCCTCTTCCAGCCACCAGTTTGTTCTCTGTATTTATAGGTCTATTTTTGTTTCTTTTTTTCCTAGATTCTACTGATGAGTGGAATCATATAGTGTTTGTCTTTCTCAGTCTGATTTATTTCACTTAGCATAATACCCTCTGGGTCCATCCATGTTGTCTCAAATGGTACAGTCTCATCCTTTTTTTACAAATACATTTTTTTTTAAAGGAGTTTCTCAGTGATTCCTTCCACTGCCCATCAAGGTCACCTTAGTTCCTCCAGAGCTTGAGCTAATATTTATCCTCAAGATAGCCCTTTTCAAAATAACCTATGCTTAACTCAGGCTGTCCTGTCACTTGGCCCCAAATTCTTTTAAAGTTGGTCTTCTTTTGGGGCGCCTGGGTGGCGCAGTCGGTTAAGCGTCCGACTTCAGCCAGGTCACGATCTCGCGGTCCGTGAGTTCGAGCCCCGCGTCAGGCTCTGGGCTGATGGCTCAGAGCCTGGAGCCTGTTTCCGATTCTGTGTCTCCCTCTCTCTCTGCCCCTCCCCCGTTCATGCTCTGTCTCTCTCTGTCCCAAAAATAAATAATAAACGTTGAAAAAAAAATTTAAAAAAAAAAAAAAAAAATAAAGTTGGTCTTCTTTTATCCCAGGACTGATTTTCAGGGGGGAAAAACGAGCCCGCCAAGGGTGTGTGGTAACAATGGAAGGTGATCTTGGCAGTCCTGCTTGTGAGAAAGCCGCCTGCGTGTTGAGGCTGTGGGGGGTCCAGGATGCTCCTTCGTTCGAATTCTGGTTCTAGCGCCTTCCTCCCACTTTGCGTGAGTCCAGGAATGTGAAGATCCTTTGTCAAATATTAAGAGACTCTTGGTGTAAACAGCGATTACCTTTCCTCGTGTCATCACATTATGGCTTTATTTTCCTTTCAACTGGTCACAAAATGGAACGGAAATCTACTTTAAATGTTGTTATTGTTACCAAATGAACTTTGCTCCCTATTCTTGAAAATGCAGAATCAAATGGTTTACTTGTCCCAAATACAGATCCATTTGTTTCCTTATATGAAACCCCTGATAATTTTTTCCACGGACTCGAGGATCTTGGAATGACAGAAAGGTGTGTGCTGGTCAAACCCTACTTTCCCAGTAGCTTCAGAATGACCAAGGCAACCTGGAGGAGAGGCAGAAAGGTGAGTGTCCCCTGAAAACCATTCCCTTATCAATAGATATTACATCATTTGTGACTTTTCACCATTACTGCAATAAACACTGCATTGGTTTGCTAGGGCTGCCTTCACAAAGCGCCACAGACTGGGTGGCTAAACGGCAGAAACTCAGTGTCTTACAAGCTGTGGAAGGAAGCTGGAAGTTCGAGATCTGTGTGTGGTCAGGGCTGGTTCCTGAGGGCCGTAAGGGAGCACATCTGGGCCGGGCCCCTCTCCTTGGCTGTAGACGGCTGTTCCTTCACATCATTTTCCCTCTGCGTGTCCATGCATGTCCAAATGTCCCCTTTTTATCAGGACACCAGTTATATTGGCTCAGGGCCCACCCTAATGACTTCATTTTAATTTGATCATCTCTATAAAGACCTGTATTTCCCAATAAGGTCATATTATGAGGTCACAGGCGTTAGGGCTTCACCATGTTTTTTGGGGGTGGGGGACACCATTCACCCTATAACAAATGTCACAAAAGAACAGGTAGTTCATGATTCCTTTATTTATTTAGGAGTTAAGGGGAGGGGCACAGGGGGCAGAGGAAAGTTACCTACGGGGAAAGGATTGGGAAGGGTTTGCAGGGGCTGGGCTAGAAAGCAGTAACACTGATTCTATAGTTGAAAAGGAGTAGTGCACATTTGTAAGTACCTGGTGGGAGTTTTGTAATAAAACCTACCTTATGAATAAGTACAGTGGAATACTACTTAGTACATTCATACATGTTGCTACCATCTTGAGATTTTTATATATACAGTATATGATCTGTTTTTATAAATGTACAGCTTGAAAAAAAGAGATCCTTCTTATAATAGGTACAGCATTAAACACAAAACCAACATGGGCCAGCCACATTCCAACTGAAGACCCAGAGAAAGCAAGGCCAACAGCCCAGCCCCTGCTTAGCCTGGCAGCCTGATGGGTCCCGGCAAAGTGTAAACCAGCTGCCCTCTGCACCTGGGGGCTCAGCAGGCCACGCTGGCCCTTGGCCTTCGCATGGGAAGTGCCGGCTCATGTCAAGCCCGGCCTGCAAAGAGGGCAGGTCCTCCCTGAAGGAAAGTGGCAGAGAGGAATGTGTGTGTCAGGTAAGGAAAAGAGGGAGGAAATAAATGTGCTCTTTGACTAAAGGCACTTGTCAGTGGCCGCCTACAGCCATTCCCTGGGCCTGGTGAGCGAGCGGGGTGCTGTTTTGATAGAGCCAACAAGGTCCAAGTGGACCTCGCCTGTCCTCTCACCAGGTTTAAATACAATAAATAAATCTTAGTGGGTGGTGGTTTTGCCCTCCTGGGCTCCTATGAAGAGGCTACCTTTTAGGATCATTTATGCAGTGACACTCCCTGTCCCCAACCCAGCTTTTCAATGTCCTCCATGGGGAAGGTGCCAGAAAAACTCCAGGCCTTGGACAAGGGAGCAATTGCTCGCTATGGATCAGAAGGAGAGCCCCCAAATGTCCCCTTCCCTGTCTGGAGCTCCTTTGCCTGTGCATTAGAGTCTCTGTGCGCCTCAGATCTTGGTCACATAGTTGTTGGGGAACAGGCCCTGCTTGCCTCGTAGTCGACCCGTCCACCAGCCAGAAGGATCTGCAGGAGACAGAGGAGGCGAAAGTGAGGGCGAGCAAGGCAGTTGTGCCTGGGCCAAACACACCCTGTCCTGTGGGCGTATCACAGGGCAAAGGTGGTTTGGCTCCTTCTACGTTCTTTTTCCTTCTTTATTTTCTTTTACATGAAAGAGTCCGTTGTAAAAAGGAGCCCTTCCCCCTCGGCAGACATAGCACTCGAGGCCCCGTTCTAGGAAGATCCTGCTCCTGCACCTTGAGGCTTTGCCTGACCGCCCCTCGGGGCCTAGGCCTGCCAGCCCCAGTGCGTGGTGGGGCCACGGGAGGCTGGTGGGTTGTGGTGGGATGGTCCTGCCCCCCCCACCCCAACTTTTCATCATGGGGGCTACTCCTCCACTGCACCGTTCCCACTCCTTCCTCCAGTGCAGAATCTGCTCTGGGGAGAAACTGATGCCCAACACTTCCCACGTTAATGCCAGACCCTCCACCAGTGAGAAGTATGTGCTAATGTTCTTCCAGACCCTCCTCTGTGATTTTAACTGTACACACACTCATCTTAAACACAAACAGCCATTCTGTATCTTACTATTCTGCATCTTGCTTTTCAATACTTAATAGCTATCATCTTCCATGTTGTATCTCATTTTTTAAAGGGCTGCACTGTATGCCATGATTTATGGAATCATTTCCTTACTGATGGACATTTTTTCCCAATTTTTCACTATTGATGGAATAAACTTTCACATATATATCTTTATGTCCATGTGCAAGTAGGTCTGTAGGATAGATTCCTAGGTCAAAGAATATAGCCCTTTTGGGGCGCCTGAGTGGCTCAGTTGGTTAAGCGGCCAATTTTGGCTCAGGTCATGATCTCGCGGCCCTTGAGTTAGAGCCCCACATTGGACTCTGTGCTGACAGTTCAGAGCATGGAGCCTGCTTTGGATTCTGTGTCTGCCCCTCCCCTGCTCGTACTCTGTCTCTCTCAAAAATAAACATTAAAAAAAAAAAAGTCCCTTCAAAGAATACAGATGTTTTATGTTGTAAGACAATTATCATTCATTTTTGTAATAGGTAATATTCTTAGATGTACTTTCAAAAGTACAAAAGCATAAACAGTAACAACAGCCACCCAGATCCGTTCTTTTTAAAAATGCTTATTTATTTTGAGAGAGAGAGGGAGAGAATCCCAAGCAGGCCCTGCTCTGTCAGCTGTCAGCACAGAGCCCTCCATGGGACTCAATCTCATGAACCATGAGCAGATCCCTTCTTTGAAGGCATGCAATATTATATATTTTTTATACTTTCAGAGATATTTCATGTATATAAAAGCAAGTATTTATAAAAATTACCCCTTTTGTACACAAACAATAGCAAACTACACATTCTGCACTGTTTTTAACCTTAATAATATATACTAAAGACCATTTCATATCAGTTTATAAAGAGTTTCCATATTCTCTTCCAATAGCTGCATGACTTACTATCATTTGCCACCTTCTCTGTTGTTGGCCATTATTTAAAAAAAAAATTTTTTAACATTTTCTCATTTTTTGAGAGACAGAGCGCAAGCAGGGGAGGAGCAGAGAGAGAGGGCAACACAGAGTCTAAAGCAGGCTCCAGGCTCTGAGCTGTCAGCACAGAGCCCGACGCAAGGCTTGAACCCATGGATGCAAGATCATGACCTGAGCTGAAGATGTACACTAAACCGACTGAGCCACCCAGGTGCCACTGGTCCCTACTTTTTTTTTTTTTTTTTTTTTTTTTTTTTTTTTTATGTTTACTCATTTTGAGAGAGAGAGTGAGTGAGAAGAGGCAGAGAGAGAGGGAGACAGAATCCCAAATAGGTTTGATCTCACAAACTGTGAGATCATGACCTAGGCTGAAATCAAAAGTCAGATGCTTAACTGACTGAGCCACTCAGGCTCCCGGGTGTTTATCTTCTTAATTAGGAATTCTTTATATATTAGTGGATTTGTCATATGGGTTGCAAATATCCCCCCCTCCCATTTTTAACTAACTTTTTATATTTTAATATTTAAGTAGTTGAAGCAAATGATATTTTTACAGCTTCTTGATTTTCTATCACTTTTATAAATATTTCCCACACTGATATTAAAAAAGAAAATTCTCCCATACTTCTAGGACTTCTGTTTATACATTTAAATATTTATTTATTTAGGATTTATCTTGATGGAAGTGGTTAAATGTAAATTCAAAGTAATTATATTGACATGGGGTTTTAAAATTTTGACAAATAAGTGTTAAATTTCCTTCCCAAGTCTATTCTAGCTGTAAGCTATGAAAGAAGGTACCTTTCACCCTGACTTACCACAGATACTATAGTCCAAACTATTTGCAATGACCAAATCCAGAAAGTTCTTAAAACTTAAAGGCTCATGTAATTCATTTGATGGCAAAACCTGACCTGAACTGAGTTTGTTTATGATGTCTCTTCCGACAGAGGGTGAATGCTCAGATGTTGCACAGCAGAGATGCTGAGTTTGACCCAGGCTGTTGCCTTGGGACCACCAAGTGTTCTAATAGGTGGTAATATCTCCTATACACACACACCATTATCGACTTTCTAACCGTCTCTGGTTTCTAAAACTCAGAACTTAAGGGTTTGGAAAAGGGAGTGTGACCTGCATCTTATTTCAATCTTCTGCTGGAGTCACGGGTGGAGTTGTTACCTCTCCTTCACTGATGGGTAAAGGGTGGGGAACCTCTCCATGCACGGTCTCAGGAGCCTCTGACCACTTTTGGACTGGACTGTGTCTTTTTATTCATGTGGGGGAGCTATTTAGAGGTGTAAAATGTTTTTTCCTAGCCTGTTTTCTATAATTTAACTTTGTGCTGGTGCAATTCACTATACAGAAGATTTTAATTTAGCCTTTTTATGAGGTTTAAATCCTCTATGGTTTTTGGGTTTGATGTTCTCCATCGGAAGACTTTTCACCCCCAAAGATTAATGTAGTATTCTAGGTTTCCTTCTAAGATTTTTATAATTTAGATATTTAATTAGTCTGATATTTTGTGTATGAGGTAGAGCTTGAACTTTATTTTCTTATCAAAATGGAAAGTAATGCCTATCCTTTCCCCTGGTTTCAAATGCTACATTTATCATATATTAAATATCTGTATACACATGGCTATATTTCTGGATTCTATCCTGTCTCATCTATATGTCTATTCCTGCACTCACACCACACTGCATAAATGAGAGTGATAATTTATAGCATTTTTTGAGAACTTCTAGGACCCTACACTTGACACAAATATGTAATTGTTTTGATTATACCCAAAATACATGGTATTTCTAGAAAAATCTGAAATATTGAGAACTGAAAAGAAATAAAAATTCAACATTTAAGGAGACCACTTGATATCTTATATATATTATATATAACATACATACGTGCATATAGTCATCTATTTTTCATTCTTACAAAAATGAGACTACAGTCTGTATAACCTTTTTGCCTTTTCTCATGAACATTTTTCCATTTCAGTAAATATAGTATTGCATCATTATCTTTAATAAAAATGTTTGTCATTGAAGTTCACTAAATGGATATAGCAAAGCTTATTTACCCAATCTTTGTTACTGGGTAATTGGTCATTTCCAGTATTTTTGCTGAACAAAGCTGGTGATAAAAATTCTATTTGTTTACTAAGCATTTATTTCAGCCCTTAATTCTACTCCGACACTTTGGAGGAAGGATACTAAATGGCTAAAATATTAAAATCTATAGCAAGCTAGATGGCTATCTAGTTTCATGATAGATCAAACTATTTGATGAGATCAAAATAATGTCCAGAGGTCTTTTAGAAGGAGGTCAGTCCGGGGACCTAGAAGTCTCCTATGAGCTCATGTGATTAAGGAGTTTGATAATAACCCCCTTCCTGGAACTGTGTGTCCTGGCCACCTCTTCCCGAAGGCTAGTCTTACCAAGGCCCGTTTCACTCAGTTTGTCCTTGCTCTGTTCGTAATGGCTTCCACACTGTACACAAGTCCTCCTCAGCCTGACATTCAGGGTCCTCCACTACCAGGCCACTCCTGGCTTCCTCTTGTCTCCTGGGAGATCTTGCACCGTGGTTGAGCGTTGGCTTACTTTCGTAAAGTGACCTGCTCTTTCTGCCCTCTGTGGCTTCTCTGTCCCATTCCTCACAAATGCCATTTCCTTCATGGTGTTTTTGAATATCCTAAGTCAGGAGTTCTCGTTTTAAAAGTACTTCCATAAGCACTAATGTTTGGTCATATGTATATCACATTCTAACTTCTCTACCAAATTAATAAGGCATTCAGCCAAGCTCACAGCCTTTTTTTTTTTTTTTTTTTTTTTTTTTTTTTTTTTTTTTTTTTTTTTTTTTTTTCCCGAGAGAGAGAGAGAGATTGGGAGCGGGAGAGAAAGAGAAAATTAAGCAGACTCCATGCTCAGCATGGAGCCCAACACAGGGCTCGATCTTGCAACCTTGAGATCATGACCTGAGCTGAAAGCGAGAGTTGGAAGCTTAACCGAATGAGCCCCCCAGACACCCCCAAACTACTTTTATAACAGATATTACAGGTTGTCTCCCTGGCGTACATTCCATCTACCATCATTATGAGGAGGCCACCAAGTTTGGGTGGGATAGTCTTAACAACCATTTCCAAAGAAGTCCCTGCCACACCTAACTTACCACGGGTACAGCCTTTGCCTTGCTAGAGATTCAGGGATGGGCACATGAGCAACTGGGTCTAATGAGAGTAAAATCTAGGACTTTTGTCCAATGGCTAAGAGAAGTTTCAGGGATAAAGCAGATTTCAGACACAATTTGATCTCTTTGCATGGCAACCATTTCATTGCCATGACGGAAAACAGCCTAAGAAGGGAGCAAATACAAAGAAAGCAGAGCTGATAGATCGATCGATAGATAGCTGGAGCCCTGATCAAACTGAGCATGAAGCCCTAGCCTATCGCTGCAAGTTTCAGTTAGAGGAACCTATAAATTCCCTTCATGTTTAAACTAGTTTTTATGGCAATGACACTGAATGTTCTTTAGGACGCTGTCTCAGCCAGCCATGCACTTACCTTCTTTGATGATATCGATAATGTCATTGGCATTGAAGCTGAGTTCATCTGTGTCCTGAGCATCGTAGGCATACAGAGCCTTGCACTGTGGCACCTGAGGCTTAGGCTTGGGCTGGGGCTTGGGTCTGCCCCCTGCTGGGGGAGGCCGACTGGTCGTTTGTCTCCGGACACTGTGGAGAGAGTGGAGGCAGGTAAGAGAAGGGACCTAACAGGAGGCAACACCATATGGTGGTCTGGAGCAAGGGGCCAGCACTAGCCTGCTCAAGTTCAAATCCAACTCTGTCCTTATAAGATACGCCACTCCGTAAACTTTCTCTGAAATTAAAAATGCACCCCCCCCAACTTCAGAAACAGAACTTTTCACCAGTGCCATAGAAGCATGTGGTGTTTCTCCTCAACAGCAGTCCTTCCCAGAATCAACCACCACCCTACATTTTGTATTAATAACTGCTTTTCTTTGTGGTTTTACCACACACACAAGTATCCCCAAACAGTACACGTAGTCTGCCTGTTTTTTTTAACTGTATAAAAGGAATCATGTTCTATCACTCACTCCATTTTCGAGATGTACCCTGGTGATGCATGAACGTAGTGGCCATGCATTCTAATGGCCTTATACTCTTCCATTGCATGACTATGTCACAATTTACTTATCGACTGCACTGTTGATAGTTGTTTGGGATGATTCCAGTTTCTACTATTGCAAAAAAAAAAAAGAAAATGCTGCTTTGAATTTTTTTTTTTTTTTTTTGAGAGAGGGTGTAAGTGAGCGAGGGGCAGAGAGACAGAATTCCACAAGGGGCAGAGAGAGAGAGAGAGAGAGAGAGAGAGAGAGAGAAAAGTCAGGCTCACCCGAAGTGGGGCTCAAACTCACAAACTGAGACTGTGACCTGAGATGAAGTCAGATGCTGAACTGACTGAGCCACCCAGGTGCCCTCTGCTTTGAATATTCTGGTGCAAGAATTTAACCAGAGCAATTTCTCAACCTCAGTACAACTAACCTTTGGGGCCAGATAATTCTCTGTTGTGGGGCTGTCCTATGGACCACAGGTGGTTAGCAGCATCCCTGGACTCTAGCCATTGGGTGCCAGTAGCATCCCCCCCTCCCCCCCACATGGCGATGATCAAAAACAGCTCTAGCACTAGAATCCTAATCTGAATCTTCTAGCTTTAAATGTATTCTTTGTATACACTGTATTGCCTCCAGTCTCCATGCATACATTGTCTCAAAGGCATAGAGCTATAGCTTGTGAGATCTTTAAACTTATATCCGAAACAAGTATCTGTTAAATATGTTCATAAAAAGCATTTAGAGAAAAAAAAAAAAAAGGAATACAAGCTGGTGCAACCACACTGGAAAACAGTATGGAGGTTCCCCCAAAAAACTAAAAATAGAACTACCCTACCACCCAGCAACTGCACTACTAGGTATTTATCCAAGGGATACAGGTGTGTTTCGAAGGGACACATGCACCCCAATGTTTATAGCAGCACTATCCACAATAGCCAAAGTATGGAAAGAGCCCAAATGTCCATTGACGGATGAATGGATAAAGATGTGGTATATACCCACACACTGGAGTATTACTTGGCAATCAAAAAGAATGAAATCTTGCCATTTGCAACTACGTGGATGGAACTGGAGGGTATTATGCTAAGTGAAATTAGTCAGAGAAAGACAAATATCATGACTTCACTCATATGAGGACTTTAAGAGACAGAACAGATGAATATAAGGGAAGGGAAACTAATATAAAAACAGGGAGGGGGACAAAATAGAAGAGACATAAATATGGAGAACAAACTGGGGTTACTGGAGGGGTTGTGGGAGGGAGAATGGGCTAAATGGGTAAGGGGCACTAAGGAATCCACTCCTGACATCATTGTTGCACTATATGCTAACTAATTTGGATGTAAATTAAAAAAAGAAAATTAAAAAAAAAGAAAAAAGGGACGAAGAAAATATTTTCATCAAGGACAAACCAGGTTAAGCCTATATCATTTGCTTACAAAAGAAACAAGTTGGAAACAGGAAGAAATAGAAAATTTGAACAGACCCATAACCAGAAAAAGAAATTGAATTAGTAATCACAAATCTCCCAAAAATCACAAGTCCAGGGCCAGATGGCTTTCCAGGTGAATTCTACCAAACATTTAAAGAGTTCACACCTATTCTCTTGAAGCTGTTCCAAAAAATAGAAATGGAGGAAAACTTCCAAACTCTTTCTGTGAAGCCAGCATTACCTTGATTCCAAAACCAGACAAACACCACACTAAAAAGGAGAACTATAGACCAATCTCCTTGATAAACATGGATGCAAAAATCCTCAACAAGATACTAACCAAACGGATCCAACGATACATTAAAAAAATCATTCACCACAACCAAGTGGGATTTATACCTGGGATCCAGAGCTGGTTCAATATCTGCAAAACAATCAATGTGATTCATCATATCAATAAAGGAAAGGACAAGAACCAAATGATACTCTCAGCAGATGCAGAGAAAGCATTTGACAAAATACAGCCTCCTTTCCTGATTAAAAAAAAAAAAAAACCCTCAAGAAGGTAAGGATAGAAGGATTATACCTCAAGATCATAAAAGCCATATATGAAAGACCCACTGCTAATATCATCCTCAATGGGGAAAACCTGAGAGCTTTTCCCCCTAAGGTCAGGAACACGACAGGAATGTCCACTCTCGCCACTGTTATTCAACATAGTATTGGAAGTCTTAGCCTCTGCAGTCAAACAACACAAAGGAATAAAACGCATCCAAATCAGCCACAAGGAGGTCAAACTTTCACTCTTTGCAGATGACATGATACTCTATATGGAAAACCCAAAAGATTCCACAAAAGAAAACTGCTAGAACTGATCTATGAATTCAGCAAAGTGGCAGGATATAAAACCAATGCACAGGATCAGTTGCATTCGTATACACCAATAATGAAGCAACAGAAAGAGAAACCAAGGAATCGATCCCATTTACAATTGCACCAAAAACTATAAAATACCTAGGAATAAACATAACCAAAGAGGTGAAAAACCTATACATTGAAAACTATAGAAAGCTTATGAGAGAAATTGAAGAAGACATACAAAAAAAGTGGGAAAATATTCCATGCTCCTGGATAGGAAGAACAAATATTGTTAAAATGCTAATACTATCCAAAGCAATCTACATATTCAGTGTAATACCTATCAAAATAACACCAGCATTCTTTACATAGCTAGAACAAACAATCCTAAAATTTGTATGGAACCAGAAAAGACCTCGAATAGCCAAAGCAATCTTCAAAAAGAAACCCGAAGCTGGAGGCATCACAATCCCGGACCTCACGATGTATTACAAAGCTGTAATCGTCAAGACAGTATGGTACTGGCACAAAAACAGACACACAGAATAGAGAACCCAGAAATAGACCCACAAATGCATGCCCAACTAATCTTTGACAAAGCAGGAAAGAATATCCAATGGAATAAAGACAGTCTCTTCAGCAAGTGGTGCTGGAAAACTGGACAGCGACATGCAGAAAAATGAACCTGTACCACTTTCTTACACCTTACACAAAAATACACTAAAAATGGATGAAAGACCTAAACGTAAGACAGGAAGCCATCAAAATCCTCGAGGAGAAAGCAGGCAAAAACCTCTTTGACCTCAGCCACAGCAACTTCTCACTCAAGACGTCTCTGGAGGCAAGGGAAACAAAAGCAAAAATGAACTATGGGGACCTCATCAAAATAAAAAGCTTCTGCACAGTGAAGGAAACAATCATCAAAACTAAAAGCCAACCGATGGAATGGGAGAAGATATTTGCAAATGACATATCAGATAAAGGGTTAGTATCCAAAATCTATAGAGAATTTATCAAACTCAACACCCAAAAAACAAATAATCCAGTGACAAAATGGGCAAAAGACATAAATAGACATTTCTCCAAGAAGACATCCAGATGGCGAACAGACCCAAGAAAAAAATGCTCAACATCACTCATCATGGAAATACAAATCAAAACCAGAATGAGATACTACCTTACACCTGTCAGAATGGCTAACATTAGCAACTCAGGTGACACCAGATGTTGGCGAGGATGCAGAGAAAGAGGATCTGTTTTGCACTGCTGGTGGGAATGCAAACTGGTGCAGCCACTCTGGGAAATAGTATGAAGGTTCCTCACAAAACTAAAAATAGAACTACCGTATGACCCAGCAATTGCACTAGTAGGTATTTATCCAAGGGATACAGGTGTGCTGTTTTGAAGGCGCACATGCATCCCCATGTTTATAGCAGCACTATCAACAATAGCCAAAGTATGGAAAGAGCCCAAATGTCCATCGATGGATGAATGGATAAAAAAGATGTGTATATATACAATGGAGGATTACTCAGCAATCAAAAAGAATGAAATCTTGCCATTTGCAAGTATGTGGACGGAACTCGCGGGTATTATGCTAAGCGAAATTAGAGAAAGACAAATATAGGACTACACTCATGAGGATTTTAAGATACAAAACAGATGAACATAAGGGAAGGGAAGCAAAAATAAAAACAGGGAGGGGGACAAAACATAAGAGACTCAAATATAGAGAACAGAGGGTTACTGGAGGGGTTGTGGGATGGGGGGATGGGCTAAATTGGTAAGGGGCATTAAGGAATCTGCTCCTGAAATCATTGTTGCACTATATGCTAAGTTGGATGTAAATTAAAAAATAATTAAAGGGGGGAAAGAAAGTTACATTTAAGGTTTCTTTTCAGAGGAATTGGGTGGCACTCCACTTGGTGGCTGTTGACACCTGTGGAAGGAAGAAGGAAAAGGGAGGGTCTTTCCCTGGGCCTGCGTCCTGGAAGGGAAAGCACACCCAGTTTTGATCTGTGATCTCAGGAGGCCAGAGCTGCTCTGTCTTTGCTGCGGCCCCATGACAGTAGATGGGTGCTGATGAGAGAGTTAGATCTGGTGGGGAGGGGGGACTGGCTACCACCTGGGGGGGTAGGACTGTTCCTGTCAGGGTGGGATTTCGGGGGCTCCCTGTGTGGGAGGGAGCAAACCCTAAGGTTACTCAGGCTCCATTCTTCTTAGGTCAACCCCCATCCCTATCTTCCCACCTACCACCAAGCACTTTTCTTTTATCCTGGAGGAAAAGCATCTTATAGATGATTAGCCTG